TCCTCCTTCTTCTTTTCTTCTTCTTGTCTGACAAACACTTCTTGATCTCACATGTGTAGAATCTGAGAAAAAAAGGTTCAAACTTACTGAATGGAGAGTAGAACAGTAGTTACTACAGACTGAGTGAGGGTGGGAATAAAGAATGCAAAGATGTGGATCAAAGGGTATAAAGTTACAGGTAGACATAATTATAGCACAACTTGGTGGTCACGGTTGATAATAATGTATTGTATGTTTCAAGGCTGCTAAAAATAAATTTTAAAGTTTTGTTGATACAAAAAATAACTAGATGAATGAATGTCTCATTTCCTTGATACATATAATCATTCCATAATATATATATATATATATATATAAAATATCACATTGCACCTTCTTTTATAAATGCAAACAATTATTATTTGTCAATTCAAAATAAAATTCTAAAAGTAAGATGAGCAATTGGTCATATGTAATTTTTGTGATAAATTTAGATCTAAAATAAAATAGAACAATGAAACACAATATTCTTAAAAAGGAGTATAGTAGAGATGTTTCTCCTTCACAGACAGATGCAAAATGTTTATAGATGGATATAAATGAGTCCAGAAGAAGAAGAAACTGATGATGGAGGGCAGAGAGAAAGTATAGTGGTGATGTTCTAGAAAAATAAGAGGGAAAGGTGGAGATGTCCAGGGGGCATCCGAGGGAGGTGGTGTCTAATATGCTCCAGCACACAGTCCTAGAATGGTGGCTGCAAGACACTAACTAGACTTATGGATCACCAACATCAACATCAAGCAAGATGGTGAACTCTTGTTGGGACTAATGGGTATTCACAATCTATTGAAAATCTTTGGTAACATTGAAGAATTGTTGGAATTAATACAAAATAGCAAGTGAGCTAGAAGGACAAGGGGTTCTTAATACACACGGGCAAAGCTAGGTTCAAATTCCACTTATTAGCTGTCAGTCATGATCATTTGCCTCCTACTGTGATTGGGAATGTATGGTTCAATGTCTATGAAGTACAAGACTAGAAATGACCTGTGAAATGAGCATGAAAGGTGAGTTCTTTTGTGTGACACAGTAAATGACTCTACACTTATATGTGTCTGAAGCACAAAGCAAGGGATAATTTTGTAGTACAATACAAAAGTGTCCTAGGATGATTGGTGTGTTTCTATAAATTCATTGAAAGAACTTTCACTCAGGTTACTCTTGCAATGACTCAGGTCTCATGCTCTTATTGTAATAAGTGACAAACAGGAATTTCAGCAAGTTTTAACTTGTTCTGCTATGAGTATCAAAATTACTAGTTGCCTCACAAATTTGTTTTCCTTTTAAATTTTTTAGTAATCTTGGATTTGGACTTCTAGGAACTTGGAGTGGAGGAATTGTCTGGAGGGTTTGCCACCATAAAGCAGGTTTTTCAGAATTCTGTTGTTTTTGTTTTTTCTGCCTTCTTTTGGGTCCAGTGGCTGGAATCCATAGTCTCTTTGATTTAGTTTCTATGCAGAATATCATTCATGTTTTCTACCAGTTGAAGAAGAGTGACTTCCTAACTACTGTGGGTTAACAGTGGGTCTTTGGGCATAGTTACTCTTTTATACAAATCTTTTAATGGCATACTTTGCCCCTGATATTAGAGGAATTTTACTCCTCCAGTTTCTGAAGCTGTCTGGGTTGAGATGGGCAGTTCCACTTACTTGCCATCGGTCTCCACCTTGTCAAACTTCCCTCCAGATTATTTTGTTCACTCCATTAGCAGTTGGTATACTGATCTTGAAAGTTGTAGATGTCTGTAAGAGTCACCGCATATGGAGTTTATTGGAAGACAGATATAACCTTGAGAAACAAGTGTTAAATGGTATTGTATGTTAAATGGTTATAGTATGTTTGAGCGTTAATCAACTATTAGAAATGCATGCACTTAATGAATGTATCCTGAGTTTTCTAAGATGAGGGTTAAAAACTAAGCTATAGTTTAAATGTTTAAGTATGTGACCTATTATTTTGAGCCAATTTAATTTATACTTTGAGATATATAATGTGTTACCATGCCGTGGCTTTTAATGGTGACTTCCTAAGGTAGTAATTCTCACACTTTTGATATAACATACATATGTGCTAAAATCTTGTTTCAGTAGTTACAGAAATATATGAGATACTAATAGTGAAGGAGCCTGACCTCTGATGCTAGTTCTTAGAACATAGCTATAACATCCTGTTAAATCTTATTATGATGCATTACATGATTCTGAAAGAACCAAGTCTTCTTCCAAGTTTTATGCCACAAAATATAAAACCAAAAAGTGAAATAAGCAATTTGCTCATATTTCTACTAATACCAACACATACCACAAATATTTGATCCTTCAAGTATATGCATATGTGTTTTGTGCCACAAAATGTAAAACCAAAAAGTGAAATAAGCAATTTGCTCATATTTCTACTAATACCAACACATACCACAAATATTTGATCCTTCAAGTATATGCATAGTTTACAAATTTCTTCGATCAATATTTAGAGAAAAAAAACTCTCCAGAAGTCTGAGGCTACATATGTAGTCTACTTTGTTGCGTTTATGAAAGAGAAAGTTGACGTACGACTTTAAAAATCCACATTTTCCTTCACAAAATATTATTTTGTTAATATTATTTGCTAGTAACATTCCTTAATAAAATAGTATTTAAAGTATTATTCTAAAGACTTAGCTGCTTGAAAAGATATTTTGACACCATGTAAATTGCTTTTCAATCAAAGATTCACATGTTATAAACCTTTGAACATGTTGTTCTAGAAGTTTATACATGTTTAACTTTTATGATCTGGATTCTTGATTATTCATTTGCTCTCTGGCATGCTATTACCAGAGTTTAAAGTCTTTTTTTTGTTGTTGTTTAATAGTAGCTTTAATCATATCTTCTCTTTTCTGGTCACAGAGAAAGGCATTTTATTGTTAAAACTATCTGGCAGAGAGAGAAGAATTGAAAACAGAAAAGCACAATCCCAGGCCAAGAAACATGATTTGAAAATATTGACATGCCTATTAGGCCAGACAAGAGAAAGGTTAGAAAATACAATAAATAGTAAATTTTCTTTGAATTGGTGCACAAAATACAGGCATATATAAAACTCACTTCAGAATAGAGGTCTCAAAAAGTAAGACATTAAGAGGTCCTAGGCCCTGGAACTCACAGAACGAATAAAGCACTTGAGGCTACAGTAGAACACAGGACACAATGGATGGAACAAACACAGAAGCAGACCACCCTCTACTACGCTCTCAGGAGGTGCCCCTGAGCAAAGACTGAGTCAGAGTCCATAACTCTAAGCTGGGTGGATGATGCCCAGCTTTTTAATTGTTATTATCTTTACAGTTTGTATTTATAAAATATCTGGGGCACTTGGAATTTAATAAAAATCTCATAGTACAATTAAGTTTCTTTATGGGAAGAAAGATCCTTTCAGTGAAGAAAGCAAAATTCATTAAAAGAACAAGTAGCCAGGATTACTTGTCAGTTCATATCAAATCAGATTCTGGGATTGTGTTTAGTGTCTGTATATTCACGTCCTGGAAATGGTTTGGAGTCAACATTCCTTGAATTGTGGTGTAAAAGATTTTACCATCTCAAATTTTCATGGTTTGGCTGACCCACCGAGGAGTAAGGACACAGATCTTGGTCAGCGGAGGTGTGGCGTCTTCACGAATCACTGGACCAGAGTTGCCTACCTGCAAACAAGCGAACCTGAGGTGAATCGCTCAAAGCGCCATTGTCAGGAACTGCGTTTTCCGAGTTCTGTGTAAAGGGGCAGTGTTCCTTATTTATAAGGAATTACGTAACTCTTATCCCAATTATTTCTTTAAAAGTGCCGTTTTCATATCTGCCGTGTGTTTTACATATGTAGAATCATTTTATAATTTCCAATTTATTTCATTGGGCCATTACAAGGCGCCTTTTCAAGTTAGAGTTAAAATGATACATTGATATGTTATTAACTTTTTAAACTATCGTAATATGTAGATAACATGAATTTATCATTTTCACCATTTTGAAGCGTGTAACTTGGTGGCATTAAGTCCACCCTCACTGCTGTATACCTCCAGAACTTTTTAATTATCCCAAACTGAAACTCTGTACTGGTTAAACAGTAGTTCTCACTTTCCCTCTCCCAGCCCCCAGCATAACTTTCATTCTACTTCTGTCTCTGTTTGTCTGTTCTAATATTAATCTAATATTTGGCCTTTTGTATCTGGCTTGTTTCACCTAGCATAGTGTCTTCAAGGTTTGCCCCTGTTGCACCTTATGTCAGATTTCCATTCCTAATTCTCAGAGGATTGAGGATGTCCTATTTGAATCAGACCCAAGGTTAGTATCTGGCCAGTAAGACCAAAGCTTTTGAAGCCAAGTGAAAAAGTGCGATAAGAAATAAGGCGGCCCTGCTAGATCTCATGCCTATTTCTGATATCAGTTCAGGACTTTTGCACCCCCTAATTCCACCTCTCATAACAGGCCAAGGATTTACGGATATAGGTAATAATTTCTTCTTCTGAATTTAATATTTATTATTGAAATATATTTTTCCTGAAGAATGAAGATATATAATTTTCTAATAAACTAAATTCTACCTCACTTTCCCACCCCTTTTCATATTCCTATTGGTCAGCATTAAATGTTTGAACAAAAACAAAAAATTATTGATTATAAGACTACCTGGAGAACGAGAGGAGGTAGTATTATGCAGAATTGATAAGCAAATGTTATTTCCAATAAAAACTTTTCCTTTGTAGGCTATTTTGATATGCCACATAGTGAATATTTATGCTTGAAAGTGGCAATAAAATTAAGAGACAAGAAGGAGGTGGTGCTTTCCATTAAAGCCAGAACTGAAAATTTCTCTTGAAGCTATAAAATACCATTAATATTAGAGTGAAGTAAAAGTTACCCTCCCTCTAGTTTCACACAAACAGCTGCTAATGGTTAGGTAGTCCCAGGAAAAATAATATTTTCACATGGAAAATGCTAGTGCATTGGGCATGGATAGCAATGTGTAAAATCCAAATTAATGCAGCCAGTGTAATATTTTTTGAAATGAATGTCATTGAGAAACTTTCTTTTATCAGTATATTTACCTGTAGCAATAGTGGTTTTTAAAATTAATTGGTATTATATTAATAAATGGTCTGTTTCTCCAAATCATTGTAGAATTATAGCTGTTATCAAAAAGCCATTCATGCTACAAATCAATTTTTGTGACTAGCACCCACATATAATACATTAAATTAATATACTCTTCAAATGCCAAGTATCATTTGTGATTTGTGGAATTGCACCCTTAACTTACATGTATTTCTATTTTTATGTCTGATCATTGATTTAAGTGACAATCTTTGCCAAAACTTATACAGCTCATATCCATGAATCATGATCATTTTCATAGTTTCCTCAAGTGAACCTGAATCACAGATCACATCTGGCTTTCCCAGATCAGCTGTACTCAAGGTATAGGCCATTGTTTGAGGTAAGAACTAATTCTAGTGCAGCTCAAGAGAATTTTTATTTTATTCTTTGTAGACACTGTTTGGACTTCAATCTTTTCTTATGCAGACACAGTATATTACAAAGTCAAATTCTATAAAAGCTAGATTTATTCTTGAAATATCTTTAAACTGGCTATTGTCTCCTGAAGGAGACATCTTCTTTTGGTAAAGTCTTTGTAAAATTAGGATGGAAAATTATGTGCTGTATTTTGTTTTTAACTTTGAAAGCTAGATTAAAGGAGAAATTGGGAATTTTAAGATATTAGTTATTAGCAAATTAAATTTTCTGAGTTCTAAGGTATATAGAGCCCAATAAGAGGCTGCTATTTCATAAAGATTAGAATGATAATTCCTAACTGAATGACCAATTTTCATATGTTAACTCATATTTAAAGCTATTAGTCAAATGGTTATTTAAAAAGTTATTCATTCATTATTGAAAACGTTAATCACTTGGTCTATATACTCATTTCATTTTTAGATCTAACTGAAAGAATTAACAAACATAAAACACCTATTCAATATGCAGCCTGACACAGACAGGTGTAACATAAATAATGGCAATTAGTACTGCTAAAAATTATTATAATTAATTTTTGTCATGTTAATTTGCCTCCGAAAGGGTCACCAGCATCTGTCACAAAAATAAAGAATTAAGTACAATGTTTTTATAAAGTTCTTATTCATTTTTTTAATGCATCTAAATTTCTTTCTGAAAAAGTAAGCTTCTTCAAACCAAACTTTACCCTGAGTTTCTGACTAACATTGTGAAAAATTTAGTAATGTCTCACCGTATTGTTCCCTGGCCATATTTCATTTTTTCTTTGATGTTCATAATTATTTATGTATTTTCCTTATTAATATGCCAAATAATGATATATTAGGTTAAATATTTTTGCTTAAATTGACAAACTATATATCATATCAATACAAGTTATTAGCACTGCAGTTCCACGTCACTGTATCTGGTTTGAATTTATCTAATATGTAAGAATACAGTTTCATGACTTGACTTAACTGATTGAATTTAATTAGATTCATAAATCTAACATTTTTTACAAAACCCCTTAGTTCTGCAATATTATAGTTATGGAAGTACAGTATAAAGGAAGGAAACACTAATTCTGCAGTGAAAATTAATATGGACCCTAACCATAATTTTAGAGAAGCAAAGTTGAGTCTGGCCTGCTCCCTGAGAATTAAGGCAGGACTGTCTCATGCATCCTGTGAATGCCCATCATCGATGGTAGGAGATGAGAGAATTTGAACACTTAGCTAATTATGGTAAAATGAGAAATACAGTAACACCTATTCTATATATTGTTTGTATCATATTAAATAATAGATGGGAAAATGCCTTAATTATTGCATTGTTATGTAAGGGTTTGTCATTATTTGAATCTCTTCCATGGGATTTAAATTATTTTCAGATTTCTTGTTTCAAAATGTAAGGAGTAAAATACTCTCTATGTTTGATAAAATACTCTATTTTATAATGTTGAAACATAATACATAATCTCAGCCTCTGTGGGAGAATACAAGCAGGAGGTCTCAGACAGAACTGGTGAAACACAGACTTTTTTGAAGCAGGTATAATCTTCCAAAGTCAAAGCTAATATCCTATTGTTGGGACATCGAGGTTGGGTTAGTGGAGATATCTCTGAAGCACTTGAACTCCTTTGGCATCGATTTCTGAGACAGGAGGCAGACTGAATGAAGAAGTGTAAAGACAGCATCTTCGCCGGAAACCACTGGCCTGGCAAAACGGTGGGAAAACTTTCAACATAAACAGTCTGATAACTGTCAAACTGCATCAAGCAAAATGAAGACATATGTGCACATGCATTCAAACATGTACTCCTTTTGTCATATGAATTTTTTCTTTTGAACTGTGGAAATTCTGGGGTGCCAGATAAAATATAAACTCAGCAATAGGGAGCCAAAAAATGGATCCAAGGCATCAGTTCACATGCATCATACAGGACCAGTGTTCACAGTGTGAGCCTACAGAAACTGTAGACAGACAAAACAACAACAACAAAACACTTGAAATACTCAGAAGAGCCAAATATATTCTAGAATGAGTATAATGTCCAATTTTCAAGCAAAATTCAATATTTACATAAAGAAAAGTTATACACAAATGAGGGATCAAAACTCTCAATAGAAACTAATTTGAAGTGAGCCAAGGGTTGGATAGAATAGATATAAATCTCAAAGTAATACTGTAAATATTTTTAAAAGGTAGAATATATGTTTTGTAATGAAGAAAAATTGTGAATAAATATATACTGTTGTGGTATGGGTCTAAAGCCTCATGCACTCATAGGTGGCTTTTTCAGGGGTCCTGAATCAAAATATGTGATGCTATCATTAAGGGCATGTGATTATGAAACCAGTTCATTGGCTGGTTTAGCACTGCCCTAATCCCAGCGGTCTGGGTAAGCTAAAAGGGGTAGAAAGGTGCTATTCAGGTTTCCTTGTCACTCTACTGCCTTTGGTCCACCACGAACTGTTGCCCTTCTGCCACGTGCTAGCCTTCCTCGAAGCCAGTGGATTATTGCTGGAAGCCTCTACAAACTGTGAGCTAAATAAAACCTTTTTCCTTTTAACTTTGGGTGACAGGTATTTTTGTCTCAGCAGATGAACTAACTAGACATTATGCCAACA